TTATTTGAGATGTATCTCGTATTATTTTAACAGATATTATTTAATCCATCACTAGTTCAATAAAAGTTGAAAAAGGAGGAGTTATAATAAGCTTCTTAATCACGTTAAATTTTTTCTTTATTTGTTTAGTAAGCAGCACAAAGTCTATAAGTTATACAGCTTCAAAGCTCATTTAACAGCATTTAAGATAATTTGAAAACAATACAGAATGGAGTAAACAAGAGCAATTACCTTTACTTCCTCATAGTTGGAATTAGCTACAGCAATATAATAATCATATGTTGTTGAGATCTCCTGTTGGATCTCGCCACTTCCTGAGAAAGAAATCAAATTGATGGAACAAAGTAACATTAAGTGCAAGTCTTAATTTCCTGAAATATGCATGAGAATACAATAAGAATGGATAAAAATCTCAACGGAAGTAGCATTCCAATTCGAACTCATGTACACGTTAAATTACATGTTTTTATGATTTCTCAACTGACAACTGAAAAACACAAATTTGTGAAATTGAAGATATGTAGAATTGAAAACATGAGTGAAGCTAATTACATTATGCATGAAATACGCAACATATAATTAACTTTTACATATAAAATAACTAAGATATAGAAACTGAAAAGGAATAGGATCTGTTTAAACCAACCGCAACATAAAGTGAAGTAAAGATATAAAAGAAAAATGGATTTCACCAGTAATTATGTTCCATGACAGAATGCTACTAGGATAGGAAGGATCATTAATCCACTCAGCAAGGCTCTCTTTACCTGCAGATTCAATAGGCGGAAGAAAATGAATGATGACTGAAAAAGAGGGACTGGAACATCGAAAATGCAACTTAGGCCTAAGGGTATTTTTTATACAAAAGAATCAGTGATTAACCTTTTGCCATTAACAGGTTGAAATTGGCAGAGGAAAGGACAGCAGAACTAGAAAAACAAAGATAGGAGGAGAAAAGAATGATGATCACGGAAAGAATCTAATTAAGAATGAGGAGGTGACCTCGGGCAATGACGAGGAATAAAGTTGAGGACCTTGGAGATATTACATTATAGGAAATATTCACTTCCGAATCATTGTTTAGAAAGAACATCCATTCCTGCAAATTGAGACAATCATAGCTTCTGCACTTTAATTTACTGGACAATGATATATGCAACCTAAATTTCGGGGGGGGGGGGAGAGGGGAATAGAAGACAGAGTGTATAAGATGGAAGAAAAGTTTTTTACCTTGTGAAAATCGAAAGGTAAAGATGCATTATGTGTTTCATTCCAGGAGATTTCGAAGTCCAATGGAGGTGCTCCGTAAAATCCATATAACATAGGTCCAGGCTTTTGCTCATTTATTTCTTCTGCCTTCTCGTTGATTTAAGAGGACGCAATGGGACAATGAGCGACAATTCACAAACACAATAGAAAAGAAGAGAAAACAAGGAGAAGATCAATGAAAGTGAAGACTCACATTTATTGACCGCACAAAGAAAGAGCTAACTTGGATGAGGCGCGAGCTATTTGGACTCAATTGCAAAGTTATAG